AAAAGTGCAAACTAAAGTGACTCAGTGGTGAACACTGTCTTGAAATACAAGTGTCCATGGCCACTGAATTACCTCTGGCTTAATTGACTTAATCAGTCTGTTTGTGAAACTAAATCTAACTCCTTTATCATACGTTCGAAGGAATGATTACATGGGCCCTGCATTGTTAGTGAGTATGTGGCTTCTCATAATAAGAAGTTTTCCATTGCTACTCAATCCCCATGTGGAACAGAACATTTTGATGCCCCATATTTTCGTACTTCTTTCTTTTCCCCACCGTCATTGCTCTTCCATTCTTCATTGTCTGAGGCATAAAAATCTCCATGAAAGGTGAAAACAGTCTCCTTTGAAGCCAATAATACATAGAGACAGGTGTAAGGCAATTTAAGTATTTCCTGTGTGGGATTTAAAAAGATTCCAAGTGTATGATAGTTGTTGGTGAAAGGAAGAGAGTGTCACTGTCTGTGGTTGTTCAGTTAATGCAATACATTGATTAAGCTAAAAAGATCACAATAATGATATGCCTTTCTTTGATATTCTATTTAAAGCTAAAACCAAAAAAATTAAATTTCATTTGCCAAATAGAGCCAAAGCCTTGTCTTTGGTCATCGGTGTGGTGCTTATTTCTTGCATAAACCACTCTACTACACTGTTTATGATTTCTAAACAGTTATCTAAATGTAGCAGTAACTTGAGAACAGCAATCAGGCGGGCCTTTAAGTAGGTTTTGTACTCCTTCAGCAAATAGTCCGTGCTGCTCTGACCAGAGCTCTGAACTTGGTATTGTTGTTTTGTCTTGTTTTTTTGTGAGACGGGGTCTTGGATATGGTTCAGGCTAGCCTTGAACTCACTATGTATCCCAGGCAGGCCTCGAATTTACAGTGATTCTCCTGCCTCAGCCAAGTCCCGAGTGGTGAGATTACAGGAATGCACCACCACGGCCAGCCTAGCTCTCTGTACTTGTGACACGAGGCAAGCAGCCATATACTGGATAAAAGATGTCATTTTTGGATTCTGACATTTATAAGTATTAGGAAGACAACTTGCCCCCAACCAATTGTGCACATTATTTTAATAGCTGTACAGTGTATTCTTGAAATCTGTTTTTCCCTGGATGACGAGACCACAGTTGAATCATTCAGGAAATTATTGAAGGGAACAAAAAGTGTTGCGAACAGACAAAAAGAAAACCTTTTAGTGTGAAACATCCTGGGTGCAGAAAAGTGGCTGAGTGGGAGTTTCTCAAAATTGTGTTGAGTGGGAAAGTTTTGTGTGTTTTGAATCTTTTCCATGTTTCAAGAATCCCTGAGCAGTTATGCATTCTAGTGATGTAGACTTTTATTTTAAAATAATTTGACTATATTTTAGTTGGTAGATGTGTGTATGTGTCTTTTTGTCTCTCCCTCTGATTTCAGATTAACTTGTCAAAATGGCCTCTGATTTTCCAATCAAAAAATACATCTCTTTCTGAACTTTTTCTGTAAAGACGCTATAAATCTCAAAGTGTCATATCCTACTTCATTCTGAAAGGACTAAGGCTGTGAGAATAGGAAAGAGCAGAAAGGAATACTGAAAATTGGAGCCCTATAGAATTTCCTCTGCCTGTGTCATGGGCGAATGGCATGGAAGAGGCTATAGATTCTGGCAGGAGCTGCTGGAGACCTTTGAAAACTAAAGATAGAATCAACGTGGGGGCCGTCGGAAACAAATACACAATGTTCAGAAAACTCACAGTGGGCTCAGAAAAGGAGAGGCGGAGTGGGGGCATAAATGGAGGGGGAGATAGGTAAACGATGGCAGGGGAAAGCAAAGTTCAATAGGAATTGTCAGTACCCAGGGGTTGGCAGCTATCAGAATCCAACCCAAGGGGGAAAGAAGATGTCCTTCCATTGTAAGACACACAGAAGTGGCTGTGGAGGGAATATTGTTTCCAAAATCCTCCTGGCTTAAAGCCTGGAAGCCAAGCAAGGAGAACAATACAAATAATTAACGGAGAGGTGGAATTAACTTACAGGGAATTCTTTCTACTTTTCTTCACCTGGTGAGATCAAGTGTAGTATTAATTTCACATCAGATAGGTCTTGTATCAGGGAACTGTATCCTGTTCTGGCAAAAGATGATCTAGTAGAGTTTTTCCATTCCCAACTTGGAGGATGTAACAAATTATGTATAGCTTGGGAAAGCGATGCATTGGGTCTGCTGCACTAGGGATATTTTTGAAAGTATCTAAAATGAGTAAACTTCAAGGAGGGAAAAGAAATACAAAAATTTGCTTTACAAAAGAAATGTTTAAAAAAGCAACAGCCAGTTTCCTTTCAATTTGCACAGAATTTATATTTATTTGGTGGTACTGGGGGCTGACTCTTGAGCCTTGTGCATGCTGGGCAAGTGCTTTGCCTACTGAGCTATCTCCACAGCCCACACACAGCGTCTCTATAGAGGAGGAAGCCCAATCTTACATTGACTCTAGGTCTTTAATATTGTTTGTTCCGTGTTTATCTTTTCATGAAACATACCTTATGTTCCAAACAGATTTTGAACAGCAAGTGTCACACCCAAGTTTCAGGTGCAAAAATGGAGTGATTGAATATGTATTTTGTTTGTATTCAAATAGAACAAATCAGTGAAAAAAGCAAAACTATGAACCAATTCTCTGGCTGATGGAATAAAAATGGAGATCTGTAGCTCTTCATTTTCCTATCAAATTCAAGATAATTTTCTTATGGCTATAATCTAGTCTATAATGTGTGACTCAAATATCCCTGCCCTTCGGTTATATTAATGAAGCATCACTGATCACCTTGTTGTGAGTGAATGCATGCTACAGTTGACAAAGCACTCCTCTGCCTGTCTCTTATTGGTGCGCATTAATGATTAGGACATAGGGCATATTTTCAGGCTGCTTTTGTTCCTGTCAATATTTACTGTCATAAAGCCCCATTTAGCTTCCGGATTGCTTGAGTGATGCGTTAAAGAAGAAAAAGTGTCAAGGCAGTGAGTTAATGGACCATTTTTCCATGTGGCTTTTCTTTGGCACCTATTCTAGAGGTAGCCATCTTGCACTCCCCTTTCCAAAAGCCAATCTCCAAATATAAGTCTGTAATTTTAGAGCTGATTAGAGCTAACTTTGGCCAAATGAAATAGACTCTTTAGAGACCAGTTTGGTAGAGTGGAAAGGCCTGACTCTAAAGTTTGACAGCTTCAATGTGGAATCCTGGCCTGTACTATTTGTGTGACCTTGAGAAAAGTATTGAACCTCTTTGTGGTTCGGTTTCATCAGTAAAACAGAGAAGACAATACTAACCTCAGAAGACTTGTAAGGATAACAGTATTTGAACAGGCCATCTCCACCTACTAAGCATTTTAGATGTCCTTTCAATAATTTATTTGAAGGAAAGATTTTATTTTATTTTTTGAGACAGGGCCTCACTATGTAGCCTAGGCTGACCTCAAACACGCAGTGATCCTCCTGCCTCAGGCTCTTGAGTGCTGGGATTACAGGCATGTGCAACCATGTCTGGCAGAAGGAAAGATTTTATAGTTGTGAGGTTTGTAAACCACTTATGTAGCCTAATATTCACACTACAAATGGGGATAATGGGGTGCAGAACAGTTGTCACTATTTCAAGAACAGAGAATCCATAGCAACTCCTAGCACTGGGCTCTTTTTATTACCATAAAATACCCATGACCCATAGAGAGGCTATATGAATTTGAAAAATTAATCTCCAAACAGGAAAGGTAGTTGTTTTATAGCATGTGTTTTACCCTATTATTGTGCTGACCTTTACATGCTCCCTAACTGAAAACTGCAACCTACAATAGAGCATGCATACTTGATTAAATGGCTTGTGTTAACCTGAACACACCATTGTGTAGATACCCCCTGTAGATGCCTCATAAATGGATTGGATGCAAGTGATCAAACTTTTTGTGGATTAACCTTTCCCCAAACAGTGCTTATATTTACTTTCACCCTCTTTCATTCAAACTGTAATGATGGAAATAGCCCATTGGTCTGACATAGACCATCTTCTCTGAGTCTTATTTACCTTATTTTGACCTTATTTCAGGCCCTTACATTTTGTTCAATCTAAAAAGTGCTAATTGTAGAAATGCTTTATTTTATTTTGGTTTGGTTGTTTTGTTCTGCTGGGGATCAAACTCAAGGCCTCATCTATGCTAAGTGGGTGCTTTACCACTGAGCTATATTCCCAGCTAATTACATCGTTTTATGTCTTGCTAAGTGTATCAGTCGGGGTTTGACTGGAGAAACAGATATAACGCAGGATGTGCAAATTATAAGAAATTACAAGGTTGGCTTACGATGGTCAGCCAGAGAGTTGTATGGGGAAGTGTGCAGAGGGTATCTGCCCATTGAAGACCAAAGGAATCAGTCCAGGGTCTGGAGTTCACTGCAGAGTTCCGTGCAAGTCCATACCAGGAGGCCGATGAGTCTGCGACAGAAGGCTGAAGGATCCAAGGCGGAAGCCGAAGAGTCTGCACTAGAAGCCAGGAGACTAAGTCCAAGCTGAAGGTGAAGACTGGAGCTCCTCCAAAAGGAATGGAAGTTCCTCTGTCCTTCTTCATTTCCCTTTATATTATCTAGGTGATGATCCACCCTAGAGTGGCTCCTGTACACCCTACGGTGGCTCCTCTACACCCTAGGGTGGCTCCTCTATACCCTACGGTGTAGAATTGCTGAGCCAATTACTGAGCCAAGGTTAGTTATGCTTCTTAACTTCTCAAGTTGACATAGTCAATCAACCACTACGCTAAGAAATAAAGCAAACATGACAATTAAAATTATAAGGTATAGCTAGATGCAGTGGTGCTTGCTTATACTCCCAGATACTTGGGAGGCTGATGCAGGAGGATCTCTTGAGCCCAAGAGTTTGAGGCCAGCCTGGGCAACACAGTATGACTCAGCCTGAAAAACTGTATAAGATACCATTGATTGTGAAACACATTCTAATTAATAAAAGAAGTGCATGCTGCAATTCATGAAGTAAAGACCATATTTGTTACTGTAAAAAACCTATCTTTCCCCCGCCTTATGTCTTAATGGTACATAGCGGTCAAAAATACATTGTGGCTTATTGGCCCTACCTCACTCTTGTTATCAGCCACAGACACTTTGGATCTGTTTCCTTCCTGTGGGACCCACACTATTCTAGTAAGGAGGGAAGTTTTAAAGCCCCTGGTTGGGAAGTCACTTGCTGTCCTCATGGAAGCAGGACACAGACCTGTCATGCTGCATGAACACTGACCCTGGATACTTCGTGTGTCATGGTTTAATTGTTCCCATGGCAACAGAGCTTGTACCAGGTGATTCTAAATGGACCTTATCATACTTCCTAATAACTTGATTTGGTGTAGTATCAAAATCAATCAACCTGCATCAGAGGTTAACAAAATATTTTGCTCCTTTTGCTCAGGCAACACTTACCTTTATAACATCAAAGTAAAATTTTAACTTTTCAAACCCACATATCCAGTCACGCATAAGGCAACACTTTATCTTCAGTGGAAAAATGGTTTCTTTAAAAAGTGATTCATGCATGTTTTATATGAGTGAAAATGCAGGTTGAAGATATTTTTGGTCTTCATTAAGTATTTTCACCTTTTCCTATCTGACAAAACATAGGCAAAATTCAAATTTGTACCTTTTCCTCCCAAGTTCAAATTATTATGTCAACATATACTAACATAATGTAGAGCATTTCATGTATACTAGAAGGTTTTTCATGTTTACTGTGGGTGGAGATTAGTATGTCACTTTAATAAAGAACCAGAACTGATGAGTTGTAACACAAAGGAAACTTGACTTTCCAGCTCTTTACTCTTTCCTGGCTCACACAGGCATATATTGGGGAGAAGGTAGAAGACTGTCACTTGCAGAGACTTAAGGCAATGCTGGAAGAGTGGCGGGTGTTATAGAAAGGAGGCGGCTTAGGGGGGATGACTCTTCCTCCTCCTGTGCCATGGTGAATCTCAAGGAATTGCAAGGAGCGCTAAGGTGTGGGATGACTTCTGTGGAAGCTCTTTCCTGCTTTGCAATCATTATGTGTTCTTTCCCTAGCCCTAAGAGGAAAGAAAATAACGTGCACCACATGAGGGCATCAGCCAGAATAAGCTGTCTTTAAATTCTTCCACCCAATAAGGAATTGTAAAATCACCACACAGACCTAAGGATGAATACCAGAAATCTATAATAAATGGAAGTCACATTTTCCTTTGCATAATTTTTTGTGCTGTCATTACAAGCAATTTTCCTGAGATAAAAGCTTTGAAGACGTATTTTTCAGACATTTTTCCTCACAATGATTGCTGTCTCAGAGTGTCCTTGCAATTTCTTACTTTTCTTGAGCTAAATTTATGCTGTTTTCTCTCTTAGGCAAATATCAATATTCCAATGGGAGCCTTTCGGCCCGGGGCTGGGCAACCCCCAAGAAGAAAAGAATGTACTCCTGAAACAGAGGAGGTGAGGACAGCTCAGCTAGCAGAGCACAGTGAGGTCTGTCTGCTCCAAAATCCTCACTAAAGGAGAGTAGCAGCAAGGCGGACCTGTTCTCTAGGATGAGGGAGGGGCAAATAGTTGGGTGTCAGGAATTGGACATATAGTATGGGGATATCTGTAGTTGTCATATTCCGTCATCCAGGAAAATCTCTGTCTCCCTTCAGCCAAAGTTAAGTGCCTGGCACAAGTACTTGAAGATACTGAGCTTAACTTCCAGTTGTTCATTGATTTTGTGTATGGTGGGAAGGACTCAGTCTCTCAGATGCTTTTGTCCTAGTGATAGTCAACAGATCGGCCAGTAGTTTCCTCATGTAAACTCAGAAAGAGTCCTCCTCTTTACCCTGATGCGAAGAGGAGAATGTGGCTCAATGGGAAAGGATGAATCTGTAGCTATCTGGTAAGGCCTGTGAACCTGGCCGTCTTTGGCTCACCTGTGGCCTCGCGAGAGACCTTTGATAACAGAACTGGAGTGCACCCTCTGTGCACTCGTCCCACCAGACATGGGAATGTGCCTGGCACAGGGGCCTGACAGCCAAATCCTGATAAGCGGGACTGGTCTTCACCTAAGACAAGCAGTTGCTTGCTTGAAGCGATTTGGAGGGTATTGACAAGCCTCCACTAAGCCTCCCAAATCGTCCTTGTGACTGAAATACCATCCTTCAGCCACACACAGTGCGCTGAGATTTTCTGGTAAATAGTCCCCCTTTCACCTGGGCTCTTTAAAAAATGCAAACTTATGATTTCATTCTGGTTCAGCCATTTCTTAGCAGGGTGGCCTTGGGCGTGCGTCTTGGCTCCCCTGGGCCTGGGTCTCTTCTACCGTGAAAAGGGGCAAAGTTAACAGGGTTACTGTGAGGATCAAATCAGTTAGTACCTGTAGCTTAGAACCGCGAGCAGTGTGCTTGCTGTTACTGTTAAGGCTCCAGTGTTTGAGCGTGAGTGAGCACATCAGGCCATATTGCCCCACGTTGGAGGGTTTGGAGCAAAACTCAGCAGGGCATCTGGTAGTAAAGAACAAGATGAAAGCGAGATACTGGAAAATGCTTCAGCATTTTGCTAGGTTTTGCAAATACTCTGTGACTCCCCTCCCCTCCCGCCCCAGCAAGCATTTCTCTTCTCAACACCTATTCCTGAAACTGAGAACGCTGCTATGGTACAGGGTGTTGCTCACACTTTCTTTATCCAAAGAATGTCCTTCATGTTCCTTCTCAATTCAAACATCTATTTACAAAACAAAAAGAATATATTTAATTAGTCAAATAGGGCCATCTGGAACCCTTTTGTTCATGCCTTAATTTATTGTAATGCTCATAATAACAAATTTATAGAAGAAATGGCGTCTGATTTCCATTATATTTTTAAAAGATGACAGGAGATTCAGTTTAAAAATGCACCACCATAACTCTCCTCTCTGAGTCAATTATCCTAACAGTGAATTTTTAAATATATCCCCTTACAATTTTCCATTATTGCCACCTTACCAAATCAGGTGCAAAAAGTCTTACCTTGATACATAAAGAGCACAGTACACTGGGATTTTAATGACCTGAAATGAAGATAATAGTATTAAATACCATGATTGTTAATCTGCATGTGTTCACATAAATCATTGCACACAGACACAGAAGTACATATAGACATTGGGTTTATGTGGTACGTGTGCCAATACAGCACATTTTGATGTTACAAAGATAGTGTGTGTGACTTACCCAGGAACCTGACAGAAGGGACTGGAAGCATTTTTCTCCTTCATACTTCTTTATTAAGATCTACCCACCTAACAACCGTGGGAACACTTATAAGTGAGGAAACTTTTTCATTTCACTGCTACACATATTTAAAAAAAGCAACACTTTGTAATTGAGTTAAAAATTCCTTCTCAAAGCCCAGCGTGGGACATTTTGGAATACCTGGTCCTCCAAGTGGATGTTTAATGAACAGTTCTAATTACGGCTTTCATAGCCACATTTATAAATGGTGAGTGTGTGTGCATGGCAAAAGCAGCCAATTCTGTGGCTCTGAATATTGACCCCTGGGAACAGTATCTTCCAGACAGTCCCGGCAGGTATAGTCTACACTGAATCACTTTATCACTCCATGTGGGTGACAAGTTAGCTATTTCATCGCCACTGTAACAGATTTAGAGAAAATGACTACAGGAGAAACCATTAGCCCTTAGTAGAAGAACTGTGCCTGGATATATTGTGTGTCTACTCATCCCCTCCAACACACAATTTAAAAGATTTCTATAAAGGACATGTCTACCAAATAATGTGCCAGAGGTTGGGGAAGCTTGAACATGTTCTTTCTTTAGGTTCCACCCAATTTTGGAATTAGACACAGGAGCCTTGGGGCCTGTGTTAGTTTGGGTTCTCCAAGAAGCAAATCCAAAGTTGGGTTTAGATGTACATAACATTTATTTGGGGAAACACTTGTAAGGAAACATGGGTGGGAGCTGCAGGAGGCTGGGAGTGCCATCAGGCTGTGATGCAGGGGGATGCAAGAGGTTCAGGGTTGTCAGCGGAAGCAGCTCAGACTTCTGTGCTGCTCTCAGACCAATTCTCCAGCCCAAGTCGCTCCTCACGTCTCAAGTCTCACTGGATGAGCCTGCCTTGCGATTCCTGTTGGACTCAGTCATTGGTTACCAGCAGCTATGGGAAACGTGACCTCAGTGTAGTGATGGTTGGATTTCACGGCAAAGCAGCTGGGGCCTTCATTCAATTACTCTCCCTGCAGTAATCTGATCCGAGGCCTGTTGTCAGGGCTGCCATGGTGATCAAATGTGCCTCTGACACCTTCTTCCCAGGGCCACAGTGAATAGGAGGAATGGACTAGCAGTCAGCTTGCTTCTGTAGTAATGAGTTCAAGCCACACACAGCAATTCATTATTGTTTTATAGTCTCTGTTCTTTATGTGTTTAGTGTATGTACATAGAGGTGTGGATTTGTGATTGTACATTCTCAAGATTAATCACTTAAGCAATAATGTGTAGTCAGGCATTGAAGGAGCCACAAAAAAAGATGGGGTGTGGATCTTCCCATAAAACTGCAAAAAAAAAATATAACAGCAGTGATAGAAAATTGAAAATATTTTCCAAAGCAGGAGGGGAAAGCTGTGTCTCTTTTGTTGTTCCTACTGTCCAGCCCATATTTAAAGATATTTTCCTTATACTTTTCGGTTTGTTCTTCCTTCCTAAATATACCATGGGACCAAAGGCAGGCAGTCACTGCATCCCAAGCAATATATTGAAAATCTCCTCGACTAAGCCATTGTTTTAGAGCCAGCCATGCACTAAAGTTCTACAGATTTGTGCTGTCAGGCAGTTTGATCACATGATACCAAATTAAATTTAGAAATCCAGATCTTCTAACTGGAGGTAGTTTTTATTGGTTACCAGATGTTGAACAACACTCTAGAGTTTTCTAAGTCACATGGACGTTACTTGTTTTCTTGCAATTTTATTTTACCAGACTTTAGATCCTATTGTAATTCTGAGGCTGTCTCAGTAACACAAGAGAAAATCACTCTTTTAGAACTAGACTCTAGCATTCTAATTTGAATTTTTTCTGGTTTATATTTATGAGCTTAGAGATCAAATGTCCTTTTTTGTGAGTTTAATTTCTTCTCCTTTTGCTTCAGGGAGCTCCTCCCACCTCAGATGAGGAGAAGAAGCCAATTCCAGGGGCAAAGAAACTTCCAGGACCTGCAGTCAACCTTTCGGAGATTCAGAATATTAAAAGTGAACTGAAATATGTCCCCAAAGCTGAACAGTAGTTGGAAAAAATAGGTGAGTGAGAAGCTAGTTTCTATACTTCAAAAAGACCACAAGACATTGTTTGAGAAAGCCTTGCACAGAATGAGTTTGGAATTCCAGAAGCATTTATTAAGTATCAAGGGCCTTTGCTTTAACCAGTATTTCTGGTACAGTTTTCTGGTAAATTGAAGCTTTTGGGCTTATTCCATAACTGATATCATCCTCATTCTGATCAGCTTTGTTCATTGGGGGGGATAAGCTTGGGAGAGGAAAGATGCTGGGGAAAAAGGTTTGAAGAGCTTTTGCCTGTTGGGGCCAAGGAGCCCCTCCCTCATTGTATGCTTCTGTTTCCCTGCTCAAACACCACAAAGAGCAATGAAAGGTTTCTTTAGCTGGAGGATCAATGGAACAAGGAGCTGAACAGGTTTAGTGTGAAGGGGCAGAGACCCAGGAATTCAGGCCTTGAAAAACAATTAACCCAGGTATATGTATGGCATGCTGGGAGGACCTCCTAATAATGCTGGTGCGTATGGTAAGGGTAGGTTCAAAACTGCGTTCTGCCCCTGAGGAGTTGCTCCACACAGGGTTTGGGACCCTATTATCATTGCAATTGATCTATTCAATTATGGGCTCCTGGTGAGGGCTCAGCCCATCCTCTATCTCCAAAATGGGTTTCTGTTAACTCATGTAGAAATTCTGCCAACAGGATGAGTGTGGAATTGACCCAGATCATGAGTTTTTCTCCTATGAGACCTTGGGAATAAACCTACCCTTTATCCAACATTAGGAAACCCCACCATGCACACTCCACCATATTATCTAAGTGGACGTGTGGAGGAGGAGACTCTACACTGGGAACACAAAACAGGTTTTTATCTGGTTGATTGTTCATGCATTTGTCCATTCACCCATTTATTCAAGCAATATTTATTATCTCTGCTGAACACTAGAAACATTAATCACTTATACCATACGCCAGGCAGCAGTATAGCAACTGCTTCTTATAAGCTTTGGGACACCCAACTATCACCTTCATTCTTGAGATGATTTTTCAGAGACTTTTTTTTTAATCTATCATGCATCCTAAAAAGGGGGTATGATTTCAAACTTAGTGCTGTCGCCTACTTGTTACACTTCCTCCCACCGCACCTTACGGATGAATTACACACTCTCTGCTCATGTTGGAGTGAAATCTTCTGAGAATGTAGATGGCAAAGGAAAATATTTAGGCAGATAGGACCCTGTTGTGTCTTCTCCTGTTAACAGAATGAAGAACACGATATCCTGTGTGACAGTGAAGTGCCTTATGGCCATGTTATTTGTGTCATGCTCTATGGACTTACCAGGACATTGCCAAGTTAGTTCCACAGAAAAGATTTCTTTAGAGTGTAGAGAAAGGAGCCATTTTGAGTTACAGTACAGTATCCAGTGTTTTTACCACAGTTCCAAAAAAGAAAAAAAAGGAGTAAGAAAAAGACACAATATATTGCATGAACACATCTCTGGAACCAGGACAGGGACTAAGATCTGACATGTGGCTGTATCCACTTCTTGTTGTTGTTGTTGTTTTTATTATTATTTTGGTATTGGGAATCAAACTCAGGACCTTGCACTTGCCAGGCAGGCACTGTGCCGCTGAGCTATATCCCCGGCCCTGCACAGTTATTATTTATGAGAGAATAGAATAAACTGATGATTGGTGCTCCATCCTAATTCTGTTGCCAGACTGAAAGGAAATATTCCGTACATTTGGGATGAAGCTGCTGAACTCCATCGTGAAAAATCCCAGGGAAGGGATGATTAACTTTTTGTAATATTTATCATCACCCAACCAAGGCCATTTAGTTAGACACATGAATTTTTAATGCAAACTTTAAAGAATTCTACTTTTATGAAATCCATGTTGACCTAAATTTAACCCCAGTTCCAGTTTCAGAAGAATCTGGTTTTGAAGACTCAAAGGAATGCTGCTTTAAAATGAGCTCAGAGAGGATCTTACAGTGTTCCTTGGCAGCAGGTTTGATTCAGTATCCTCGAATGTTTAGTTACAGGGAACAAGGAACAAAACCAACTCCATAAAATATTGAAAAAGTACCAGACTACCCAGGATGTATTTTTGTTACTTCATTTTCTCAGAGAAGACTTTAATGATTCTTCTCTCTTGAACAAATTCTAATGTGAAGCCACTCACAGAGGCCTATTTATCTTTATTCTTACAGGAATGTGAAAATGTGAGTTGTCAGAGTAATTGACCTGAATTCCAAATGAGTACAGTTATTGTTTTAAGCCAAGGAATGAACTTTAGCTTGTGTAGGAGAGGTGTTAAGCAAGGTTGCTTTACAAGCATCTGTTCTCTTGCAACGTTGAAATTTTGAGACTTCCATGGTCATGGTCTGTGGCCACAGAGGGAGAGCAGTTTTTAACATCGATTGATTTAGTGAGCTCATTAGCAACAAATACATTGCAGCAGTCACCACTTAGTCACTCACTGGTTGCATTGATTTCTTCTTCTTGGGCCACCATTTTGTTGTCACTTACCCTCACCCTGTGTTGTCTGTCTGATCAGACAGATCACTAGTTTGAAGATTGCGTGGCTAAGTACACTTACGTCTATAATTGTCAAACAATGAAAATCACGAGACCAAGGCTCAAAGTCTACATTGCACCTATCACAATGCTTCAGCTGTGAGACAGAGCAGTATCTCCTTCCAGGCAAGATCAGTGTGTTTTTTACGTGGGATTTTAGATACATCCCACAAACTGTCTCCTGGCTGGAGTTGTTCATGGAATTTAATTAAAAACATTACACCACAAGAATCAGAATGAACACTGACTAGTCCATCAGGGATCAGGAATCATGACTTATGGAAAAGAATGCAGGGCCTGGTTCAGTCAAGAACCAGGCCACACAACAAAAAGACAGCACATACCATGTCAAAACCAAGAGACATGGAAATTTCCCAAATGAGGATACAACTCCAGCTGGAAATGGCATGGGTATGGAAGGCAAGGTGTTCAGCCACATAACTCTTGAGATTGATCTGGCTACCATGTAGCATGGCGAGGCGGTGACTTAAGAAAATCCAAGAGCCAGAGGTAGACCCATCAGCTAGGTCTGAAAACCAGGTGCCCTCTAACCCCCTGATGCCTGATTGTTTGTGGCATTATTAGGACTCTCATAGGCCCAACACCAGAAACAACTGTCAACTTGTTTGCTTATAGCTGCAGCAGATGCCACATCATAGACACAGGTCTGGGGAACATGTGGAACTTCTCAGGGCTGGTGTCCAACCAGACTCTGTGTCCAGTTTTGCTGCCACTCAGCCATCAGATCAGACCACCTGTGCTTAGTAAAGAACCCTTATAAAAATTCTCATACTTTGGGCATACTCTTCTTTTTGTACTAAGATATATAGACACTAAATGTGGTCCCTTCTCTAAGGATACCTATGACTTGATAGAAAGATAAAAAAATTCCAAAGGTACATAACGTAAGATTAGATTGCAGTTCTGTGTTTCTGACCTGCTAAGTAGGCCATAGAGATGTAGTCAGTGTTATTACTTACAAGAGGAGGAACTCATGTTGATTGGAATCAGGAACAATTTCAAGGCAGTAGGAAGAAAATAGTTTGAATAGAACCACAGGGATTAGCCTCTGGATATATGGAACCTTTGAGACATCATCAATGGGGCAGCCTGGCGAAACCAAACAGTTTCTCTAGGGCAGTACTTCATAACTTTGGGGGTAGAGCAACCTGTCTATACTGTCTCTTCTCTTTTTCCAGGGGTAAAAGAGCTCAGTGATAAAAAAGAATTGGAAAGAAATAAAATAAATATTAAATGGGTAACAATACAGCAATGACAAGAAAAAGAAACAAAGGTAAAGTCTAAGAATAACTGGACAATTACACCAGTGGACACCAATATAGCAGCAACTGAAAGCCCTAGGACTGATGTGGCTCCAGAAAGAAATGCTCATTCTGAAGTTGCAGGAGTTCTATCCTCAGAGCTGGATGTTGGAGCATGACCATGCATTGTGTGGCAGGCAGACCTCTCATGACAGTAGTATATGTCCATAGTAAACTAGGGTCTCAGAGAAATGCAAAACACTTCTGTGGCTTGTCATTTTTAACACGTAATAATTGTACGCACTTATGGGGCACACTGTGGTAGTTTGACACATGCATACAATGTGGAATGATCAAAGCGGGGTAATTTAGCGTTTTTTCTCCGTAAACTTCTGTCATTTCATTTTGTGGTGAAGCTTCAGATTCCTAGTTCTTTATAAAATATATAATGAATTGCCCTGAACTATAATTATTGTGCTGTACTCTAGAACACCAAATTTATTACGCTCATGAAACCGTACTGTGACACCTGTTATCCAACCTCTCTCTCTTCCCCATCCCATCAGAGTCTCTGGTGATTACTATTATACTCTATTTCTATGAAAACAGCTTTTTCAAATTTCACATATTAGTTGAGATAATGAAATAATAGTCTCTCTGTGCCTGGTTTATCTCACTTAACATTAAATCCTCTAGCTCCATCCACATTGCCCCAAATCACATGATTTCATTCTTTATGGTTGAATAATATTCCATTGTATATTTATGCCACATTTTCTTTAGCCATTCAAACATCAACAGATACGTTGGTTATTCCAAAAAAACAAAACTGGAGTGATTCTTAGTAATTCACTTAGTAGCTTTTGGTTATATATAAAAGTGAAAGCCCATGGAATGAATCCCCATTTTGCATTAATAACTGAGGAAGTAACTTGCATTTTTGCCATCAGCAATTCTTTCGAGGTCAACCAGTGAACCTTGGACCATAATTTGAGATACATTGCTATAGGGAAATAAATGAGAGTAAATTGGAATGATATGTAACTCCCTTGTACTCAGACATGCCTCCGTAATCTCATTTTAGTCTGTATCCTATATTCCACATTGGCTAGCCAGCCTTAATTCTGGATTTGGTAGATGTGAAAAGAATTATTATCATGCTCTGCTTGGGAATGGGTGACTTTGTCTTAATGTGCTTGGGCTGCTATAACAAAACAATATAGGTTAGGTAGCTGAACAACAGACATTTGTTTCCCGTGGTTCTGGAGGCTGAAAGTCCAAAATGAGGGTGCCAGCATGGTCGGGTTCTGGTGAGGGCCCTTTTCCTAGTTTGTGGACAGCTGTCTTCTGGATCCTCACATGGCAGAAATAGGATTCTCTGATAGCTCTTCCTCTTCCTTTTTTGTCCATGGGAGCCCTGACCTCATGACCTCATCAAAACGTAATTACTTCCCAAATGTTCCATCTCTTAATACCATCACATTAGGAGTTAAGGCTATAACACATGGGGTAGCACAAACATTGTGTCTGTCTATAACAGATCTCTTCTTCCAACACTGGGCCCTGCCCTTCTAGCAGTTTCTATTTATGCTTTCACAACACTTAAGACATTTTAACACATTGGTTTTCTTGTCTGTATCTTCTTGATATCATGGCACCTTAAAGACTACATTGTATCTGATACATATTAGGCACATATTGCATATCTGTAAGATGTTGCTGGCACCCTGACCACAGCAACTGTGGTGTCTTCCTAGAAGTATATATGTTTGAAGTCCTTGTATTCTTAGGGAAATTACTATTTAAAAGCAAGACTATCTTCTCTTGCAAGATCTGCAGGTAACATTCTTAGTGTAACCAGTATAGTTTAGACATTTGACTTCACCTCATTGATTATAATTTTATGTTTCCCCGTGAAACTGAAAAATTAGGAAAAATGTCAAATTTGGTTCATATTCCCTAAAGAGAAGGAATGCATGTAGCACCAGAAGAAAATTTAATTTTCAAAAATTCCATGACTTTATTTTTCAAATAACATTTATGTCCAAATAAGACATTTTCCAACCAATCATCCAGAGAGATGTCATCTTCGATAGAGGAGAACAGAAGGCACTCATTACTCTTAAATGTTAAGTATTATACATCACTGTCATTCTTACTGATTCCAGGGCTAATTTTGAGAGTGTTGGCAGGAGGGCAGATTGATGTACCCAGATACTTGATAAGAAGTTCAGTTAGTGTTGAACAGAGGACCACCAAAGTACATGAAGCAAAAAAACTGACAGCCTAACCATAATAACCATAATAAGTGAGGATTTTACCATCCTATCAGTCATGGTAAGAACAACCACACAAAAAACCAAAAAGGAAATAGAAGATTTGAACACTAGAAACCAAAAGACACATAGAGAACCCTCTACCCAAAAGACCTAACAGACACATATGGAACATTCTACCCAACAGCAGAGTACATGTTCTTCTCAAGTACACACAGAACATTGTCCAGGACAGACCGTATGTTGGACCATTAAACAAATCTCAATAAATTTACAAGGAATTGAATCATGCAAAGTCTGTTCTCTGATCACAGTGGAATGAAGAATGAAGTTAGAAATCAGTAACAAGGAAGTTTTGGAAATCCACAACTTATGGAACTTAAACAATACAGTCCTAAGTAAGTAATGACTCAATAAAAAATATCACACGGGGAATTAGAAAATACTTTGAGACTAATGAAAAGAAGAATGCGACATGCTGAAATTTATGGGATGCACTAAAAGTGGTGCCTAGAGTGTCTAGTCATAAATGCATATATTACAAAAGAACTTCTCAAATCAATAACCAACCAAATCAATATTAGCAACTTCACATTTGAGAAACGTGAATTTTATCACCTTATGGTAAATTTTCCAATTGCATTTATTTTTGGATGAAAATAGCATCCCTTTGAAATGGTAAGGCCGGGGCTGGGGATTTAGCTCAGCGGCAAAAGCATCTGCCTGGCAAGCGCAAGGTCGTGAGTTCGGTTCCCGGTACCAGAGAAAAAAAAAAAAAAAAAAAAAAAAAAAAAGAAATGGTAAGGCCATTTGTCACTGGTAAGATATATTTGTACAAACAGTATAACAATATAACAACAACTAGGAAAAATAATTGCTCAGCAGATCATCATTTTAGCATAATACTCACCTTGATATCACTTCCCTTTACTGTTTTTTTTTGAAACAGGGTCTCACTATGTAGTTTAGGCTGGCCTTGAACTCACAGCAACCCTCCTGCCTCAGCCTCCTGAGCACTGGGATTACAGGCACGTGCCACCATGCCTGGTTCCCTTTAGTCTTTTCCTCTGTGTTCATGTGCTAACTTGATGATTTGGGGTCATAAATGAGAATTGGTTTCATGTTGTAGAACCTTTGCAACTTTGAGATCTGTATGTTTACTTTCTCATTTCATAAAAGCAGAAAATGGCATGTTCCTCATTGAATAGTTGTGAAGGACTTGATAGATGCCTCGACAGAAAGTGTATGTACGTGCAACACCTGAGATGGATAATAACCCAGTGAATGGGACCTGACTCTCCTTCCACTCTTTTTCTGCCCTGGCCTTGTTCAGACCACATACACATTCTGTATCTTGCTTTTTCCACTCTACACTTCATCACAGGAAGATGTTTTTCATGTTGCTTTTCAGCCTTCAGAATTGAGATGATTTGTTTCTCATAGTCTTTGAGTTATCATGATTTCATAACCTTTCCCTCTGCCGGAAGACAGAGGACTGATTTATTGATTTGCATAGAACTAAACTTGAAAACAAAAGCAAAAAGCTGCTCCCAAACGTCTTCTCTGTGGTTTGCTGGAATTTTTTTTTGTCCTCAATTTTGACATGTTTCCTGCTTTGACCCAATTACACAAGCTCTACTGAAGCTCTATTCACTTTCTCCAAAGGATGTAGTTTCCACTGAGATCTTTCACTCTCTAGTGAAGTCACATTTCTCTTGATTTGTGGTAATCTTTTTTTTGTGCTTCTCGCTTTGTTAGGAGAAAGACGAGTTCTGCAATGGCTCTGAACTGCATCAAGGTTTAATCCATTTGTTTTCTTCCCTGGCAAAGCTATTGTTCTAGGCCCTGATTACAGCCTGTTTGGGTGTAAAGGACTCTTGAGGGTGATTGCAAGGAAGCTTTGAGTTGATTGGACCTATTGCTTTAAAGATCTCTCCACTACAAATGTGCACAGAAGCTACCTGGATGACTTCTATTAACAGAGAGCCCTGGAGGGCATGGGTATGAATTCTCAGAAGGGAGTTGGTATTGATGAAAGCTTTTAGGAGTAGACTTGAGGCTAGAGAAGCCCATGTCTTCCAGCAGTTTGGTGGAAGGCAGAGGTGACTCAGGACTGCAGTCTGCATATCTCTATATGCTGGCATGTTAATTTCCTTGGGCCAAAGGACAGGACCAGTACATGCTCTCTCCCAGTGTAATGAAATGTATTTCTCTACTCGGTGGTTCTCAACCCAGGCTTTAGGGATGGAGTTGGCCCCTCATGGGACACTTGATAATGCCTGGAGATAGTTTTGGTTTTTACAGCTGGGATGAGGGGTGGGTTCTTACTGTCACTTAGTTTGGGAGAGGCCAAGGAGACTGTTAGACACCCCACAATGCCCAGACAGCCCCTACAACAAAGAATGATATTGTCCCTACTGCCTGTAGTTCTGGGAATGTTATTTATCTGCTTGAAAGGCTAATGGCAGGTCTGACTTGTTACAAACTTTCCTTTCCAAGTAATCAATGCTGTATATTTTACAGAAATTAAGATCTTAATAAAAAAGAACATAGTAATTGGTTGTCCAATATTTATACTCTCTCTTCACCTCATGTGTGCTAGGCCAATGCTCCACCACTGAGGTATAACCCTCGCCGCCCTTTTCTGAGACAGGGACTCACTAAGTTGCTCAGGATAGCCTTGAACTGGCTATCCTGCTTTAATCTCCCAAAGACCTGGGATTACTAGCATATACCACAATATCAGCTAGAAATAAGGCACCCTTAAATGAAATTCTTTTATCAATTGGCAAATTGAACACATCTATTATATATAGTATATATAGAATATTCCTGAGTTATGGTATTAGGCCTCAAGCCCAACTACTTTTTATAGGATATGATTTCATCTCAAATGTATCAGAAAGCAGTAATTTATCTCAGCAGCTGGCCAATCTTTTAAACTATTACTGTTAAGCATTATTAATCAGCAGCAATATCAGCACCACCACTTGTACTGTCTTACATTCTCGTGACATACCTCATTCTGCACGCTGTGCTTCACACATCTTATTTCACTTACTCCTTGTGTTCTCTGAGGTGGGTAGATACTCTGAGGGCCAGTTTGTTACTGGGAAATGAAGGCAGAGAAAGTTTATGTAACTCAAGTCACCCAACTTGTACATCCCGGAGCTGAGGGGTATACCAGCATCTGTCATACTCCGCAGCCAGTCCTTTTAATCACTGTTACCTGTTCCATGCACTTAGAATATCCTTTTAGTACACAGTCTTTGCTGATGTTTTTCTGTGTTGGGTCAGAGTAAAGCCAGGAAAGGTTAAAATGACTGCAGAAACTGCCACTTCCACAGCTCTCACATGCTGGCTTACTTGTTTCTTTGTTTTATTATCCATTCATTCGGTCATTCATTCATTCAATGTTATTAAGCATAAAAGATCTACCAGGAGCTGAAAGTACTAGGTATTGAGGGTTCTAATAGGAATCAGACCGAGCATCTGCACTGCTTTCCAGCTGAATGGGCACAATATTGCGTGGAAGCACAAAGAATTTGCTCTTTTTAAAGATCTTGAAAGAAAGAAGGGTTAATGCCCGTTAATATGAAAGAAAAGCATGAAAGTGAGACTAAGAGCATGGTAAAGGAAGAGAAGAAAAAGAAGGGAGTGGGAAAGGGCCAGAACAGCACTTGCTCCAGCCGTGCTGCAGATGCGTGGGCTGTGCCCAGCATGACACAACTGCAGCGAGGTTCCAGGCTCCTGCAGAGCCTGCCTGTCCTCCCAGATGAGGGAGGGCTTGTCAGGCGTGTCTGTATCATTTATGGTGCAGCCGTCTCCGAGCCATGAAGCCTTTTCTCTCATTCCCTCTCATGCTGTGTGCAGCCCACGCAGAAAACTGGGGAAGTGAATTCCGGGCTGTCTAATCAGGCTTGGCTGCATCATGACAATGCTGCTCGTTTTAACTCCCCGCACATGCTGTGCCATTTGAGAAGAAGGAATCATGAGGAGCAAATCAAGACTTGCAAATTTAACTTGTACGCCCTTGCCACCACTCCCTGCCCATGAACTCATCATCCCACACCCTCTGGTTTAGGGCTTCATGCAGACGGTGAGGTGGTGCCTGGTTTAATCCCAGGCAGGGCTGGTCAGCTGGCTTTTACTGAGGGAAATTTCTACAAAGCACTCGACAGATTGGAGTCTCTTTCATCCAGGCAGGTGGCACAAAAGCTGCTCAGAACAATTCGTCTTGCCTGCTGGAAAAACAGCAGAAAACAAGCGCGCCCTATTGCTGGAAAGGCGCTGGATGCCTTTTGGAGGAAGGACAGTAGCACCTCCTTCCACCTCAGAAGACCTGCCCTGACACGGAGCAGCCGCAACTGAGTCCTTAACGAGTAATACACATTTTCCTGCCTATCTCTTGCCTGAGTCCTAATTTTGGATACAAGTGGTAGGAATCATGGCTGCCCTTTAGTTTCAGGGACAACAATTAGTTTCTAAAAATTTACCCCCAAAAGATTATTACGTCCTGAGTGTTCAAAATTTCATTTACTCAGATTCAGTGTTCATTTCCTAATCATTTTGCACGTGGGCCGGTTGGAACTTACGCTGGCTGAAATGACCTTTTTCTTCATAATGGACATTAGCAGTGTGAACTGGATTTGAACGGGATAGATTAAAGTAATGGGTTAAGTCTACCCATTTATTAAGTGAACATGTGTGCATTCACCCTGCCTGGTGTGATTACATTAGAAGCAAGTGATTCAGGACAATTTTCTTCAGGGAATTCACAGACCAGCCGGGTAGGGATGTGAGAAGGGTATTAGCACATAACGACTGCAGCAAGAATGGAGGAGATAGGACAGATCATAGCCTTTAATGAAGGTGATGGATGAAGATTTCAGACAGGATGACAGAGAGTAGGCACTGTATTCTACTAAAAGAAATGCCGAAGAGATGTTGCTCAGGCATAGGTTCATACCCTGGCTATGCTATTCCCTTGGTCTGTGATTTTTGCTTTATCATTCTGCCTTGGTTTCTTCACCTGAAAAATGAGAAAAATACGTACCTCAAAGGGAAGGAAGATCCTGGTGCCCAATGTGAAGGACATTCAGCGATATGTGAAGATGTCGTGATTGTCACACTTGACATGGGTGCCACTAGGGTCTCTGGGGTTGAAGCCAGGGATGGTGCTAAAACCCTACGAAGCACAGGACAGTCCCACAGCAATTGTCAACAGTGCCAAGCTTGAGAAGCACCGAATTGCACGTTGGGTAGAAAGTTCTCAGCATAGTGGTCGCTATTGCTATTATCAACTACTGAAGGTTGCCATCGGAAATAACTTCAAGTCCCTCAGCAATAGAAACTGAGTCCCAGGAGCACCTGAATCAAGGTCAGTGCCAGCCTCAAAGCCAAGTCTCCTGTTCCTCAGTTTTGTGCCCCCTTTTCCTAGCGAGGGCAAACAGCTTCCGTCGTGATTATTGTCCGTGTTTTGTTGGTGCGGGCCATGGAGAAAGGCTTGGAGCGTGATTTCTGCAGGACAGAGCGAGGCAGAGTCAGCTGTGGCTGTGTGAAGTGATGAGGTCAGGCTTCCTGCTACAGATCTGTCCACCTTACGGGAGGGCGCTGGACACCGGACATGCTGGAAAGAGATGGACACAGCTGCTTTCTACTTCCAGCCGTGTCACGTGATAATTCTGTGACCCCGGGCTGTTTCCTGACTACTGTGAAGCAAATCTATAAATAGGAATACTAATGCCAGTCTTGAGAAGAGACCATAAAGGCAGTGAAGAGACTCAGACGGGGCACTTGGGATGAGCTGGCATCCGGAAAGTGTTCATTCCCGTTGCTGTCCCTACATCTGCTCATACCTTCTGCCCTCTGCCCTCTGCCCCTTGCTTCCAAGGCCAGAAATTGGTTGATTTTTAAATGCTATACTCTCAAAAAGCACAGCTCTGCATATTTCCCTAGGGAATATGAAGAATGCATACTGAAAATTAAAATCCATCAATTATCTGTGACTATTATGAGCTTAGTGAAGCACTTTTCCAGCATTTGGAGAAGCTGTTTCTCAGTCACCACCTCCACTGAATCCCTCCAGCTTGCGCCAGTTGGTGAGATTTCCAACCTGCAGGTGTCCCCTTTCTCCTGGAGGAGGCAGTGCAGTTCCAGTTTTCAAACCCTGTAGCAGCTCTGGTTTTCGAAGCCTTGTCTTAAGACAGCAGAACTACAAGCATTTCACTTGAGCACTTTCATTTTATTTCACTCCAGCACTCCAAGGGATTTGCTTCCTCTACCTCCAACTTTTAAGGAGCAAATTCATCTGGTTTCTGATTTTTCTCTGAAGAGAATCAGTTTAAGAAATACTTGTAGAATCAAGCGCCTTTCCTCTTCTCAAGGAAAAGTCAAACAATGGATTTTATACACCATTTCCCTGAGCATTTTAGATGGGTTTGATAGCCAGAAAGAGGCGTCTCATCTTTCTAGCAATCTTTTGTGCATAGACTATTTACTATTGGATTCTGGTCCAGAAAATAAAATAGAGCCATAACAGTCTAAACATCCAGAAATGACCTGTGTGTCTTCTCTGTGACATCCTTTTCTGCCTTGTGCCACATTTACATCGAATTTCTAACTATTATTACACCACAGGAGTGTTTTCTCCTTCTTTCTGAGATTAGTTAATTTAATAAATTAATAATTGATGTCTATTTTGCAATAAGCGTGAAACAGGTAGGCAGTTACTAATATGGATGCCAGATCACATGACAGCCTAGAGACTTTGTGAAATGGCTGCCTAAAATGGCATCGCAAGCCAAGAACGAGGAAATAGAGGTTTATTTGGCGTGTTATAGGAATAAAACCTCACCAAAATAACAGCTTTTAGCTAGGGGTAAGTTAGCAGTGACACTGCAGCACCTTTGCACTGAATTCTAAATTCCTTCCATGTCCTTTCTCTCCTTTGAGTCTTCCAACAGTTCCGAGAAATCAGCAGGGCAGAACCTGAATTTGCAGTTCATTCTTATGTGACCTCCAGCTTCGCATAGGGTTGGAAGATTGTGATGCATATCATCATCTCCCTCCAGAGGAAGTGGATTTTAAGGCTCATTATTGAGTCAGCCTATTTAAGTCCATCTGTAGAAGATGAGTGTGACGCCTCTTAAGCAATAAAGGAGGATCGCTGCACTACCAGAAACAGGTGCCAAGCAGAGGGATTAGCTACAACCTGTTCTGTGGGGCCGGAAGTAAACAATTATGGGCCTGCTGACATCCAGGAGGACTTTGTCCCACCGGCATAGAAAAATATCCAGAATAAATCTGTCCTCCTGTATGTGTAGATGTATTTCAAAGCAAATATGTTATCTCAGTTTCCAGCTCTATTTATTGTTTTCTTGCTGCCTAATTGTATTTTGCCTCTTATTCTTTGCAGTGCTGGAGATTGACCCAGCGCCTTGTGCATGCTCTACCACTGAGCTATACTCCCAGTCTCACTGCCCAATTAAGAAACAATCATACTTACATGTAATCTTTATACACATCAAAATACCCCCCACATACAACACAAGACATATTTGCTCCAGGATTTGGAAATTAGGCTAAAATGTCTTCATTTCAGAAAGACCAGGTGGCAAATAGATTTGTGGAAAGCTTCACTTTGAGATGCTCCAAAATCCTTACCCTAAAAAGTGAAACTCTTCTGGAAAGTTCTTCATCATCACCAACAGCCAAGAAATGGTGTCCTGGACTTCACGTAGCGTCACACACAAAGTTTGCCGCTTGTTTTCTGTCAGGTGACAGAGAGCTTAGGCCAAATCCCATCTAATTATGGGACAGTTGTAAACCTGTTTCCATTGCAGAAAAAGCTGCCCAACCAGCCCAGCTGGTCTCAGAGTCCTTGGCCAGCAGGGGCTCCCAATACATAGGAAGACAACCTCATGGCTTAGAAGAGACAAAATGCTAAAAATCCTCTGGAAACAGAACAGATGGCAAGTGAACTGCATCAGAATGATTCTGGAGCCTCCCTGTCCCTATCCCTTCACAGCCGAGTCCAGGCTCAATTTTCTCTCCTGGATGGCACTCTTTCTCTCCAGGGGATCACATTCTGAAATACCAAAAGGTGGCAGGCAGGGCTTTGCTCCTGCAGTCGGGGCCAGTCTTCCATTACCACTGCAATTCTTGAGCCTTTACTATGGTGTGAACTGAGGCCATGGTGCCTGGAAAACTGCCTTACCACTGACAACCGCACTGAACATGTGAGGAGTTAGAATGCCAGGGAACTTGCGTTAGGTGGAAAATGAGGCTATCTCTATTAAAAATCAAAACAACTCTGTGAATTTTGGCAAGCACTTCCAACCTACAGAGATCATTGCAGATTTGCACTCTCATATCCAATAGTGCAGTTATCCTCCAGGTTGGCATTGCATGGATGACCTGCCAATTTGAGAAGCAAGACAGTTCACGTCTTTAACTGAGACCTTGAAGAGTGTGGGGGTGGAGCAGCACCAAGGACAGCATCCGTGGGCTGCTGTGAAAGTAATTATTTTCAGATAGGTCTAGAGCAGGGGTTCTCAAAAGTTCGTATGCATTAGAATTACATGGAGGCATTGCTGAAACTTAGATTGCTAGGCTAAACCCATAGGACTTCTACTTCAGGTCTTGGGTGGGTCTCAGAATTTGCATCTGCGGCGGGTTTCCAGGGCTGCTGCTGTCACTGTTGGTTTGGGGAAGCACCGACCTAGAACCAGCCATGACTTTAGATCATTTAGGTTTGGGCATTCAAAAATCCTATAACTATACCATCACCTGCTCCACAGTTTAATAGCTGGTATTCGAATGTATAGCAAAAACCTTCATCATATTTCTTTGCTAAAATTTAGATACACTGTTCTACACGTGAATGAAGCAGTTCAGTCAGGCACTCACCACTACCACTTTATCTTGTAAGACTTAAATGAGTTATTTATATAGATAAAGTTCCATTTTGCAGGTGAGAATACTGAGACTCAGAGCAGGTACATGACTTCCTCTGAGGTTGTACAGCTAGACAATGTGGTATCTAGGAGAAAAATCCAGGTTATCTGACTTTTAAAGATGACCCCAAGCTGACTTCCCCATGCAGCATGTAGGCAAGCGGCTATGGAGCTGAAACATGCTGTGTAATGACAAGGAACAGTGTTTACATAAAGGACGAAGAAATCTGTCTGGCATTAACTTGCTTACCAGGCACTGATTCTCACCTATACAACATTAATTTCTGTAGCTCTTTATTCAGTGCTATCGTTTTAGTCCAAGGGTTGGCAAACCAGGGCCCACAGGCCAAATCCAGCCTATCTCCAGGTTTTCTTATTTTAAGATTATTTTAGTTTCATATACATCAGTACGAAATAATATAGAGAGGTCTCTGGATGCAATGATTAGGAAGGAAAAAGATCATTTTTCCAGTCTCTATGGAAATATTGCTAAGAAAGCCCTTGCCAAGTTTCAAATATATGCTAAGACACAAAACCTGGGTTTGATAATCTTCATGCAAACCTACTGCTATGGATGTCCAGGTAGTGGATGTAAAACACAGGAGATTCCAAATTTGAACACTTTTCAACTCCAAGAGCAGATAAGACCGAAAGATCACAACTGCTTGACTCACTGATAGGCAGTGTTATAGCTTATCTCAAATATTATGACATAAAAATTGATGTCTTTTTCTGAACAGTTGAGTTGTGAAGACTTGGGCTTTGGGTAAGACCTGTTTATTTCTATCCTAACTATCTCAGTCTCAAGGGTAGACAGCAGCAGAATACTGGCTACAGTTAGCTCTGTGGTTTTCAGCACTGACTGCATGTTAGAGTCACTTGGACTTGCCTTCGTACTAACTCTGGCCAAAGATAAAACCTCAGTTTTTTTGAAGGAGAGAGAAGCCTAGGGATGAGAATGTTTTAGAAGATCACAAAGTGATTCTAATGTGCAGTTAGGCTGAGAAGGACTGAGCTAGGGGATGTTTCTCACGTCTTCCCTTGACAAACCAGACTGCAGTCTTTCTTGCTCGGGAGAGCATTTGGTTGAATGTCAAAAGTTTTGTTGGAAAGAAAGTGTCCAAATGTGGAAAACAGCTAGGCATTCTTTGAAAGCCATGCAGCACAGATGAACACTTTTGCATGGGGTGACTCATTGGTGAGTCACAGCCTCTGCTAGGATACAACATGGGAAAGAGATACCAAAATATCCAGACTGTCATAAGAGTCCAAATAGTAGCCTGCTGGGCTTAAAAGTGGCAGAAGACACTGCAGTACCCATGACTGTGCTGTGCTTCATCAGCGCTGTGGTGCGTGTCTATCCAGAAAACATATACAGAGTCACATTCTCATGGGTCAGGGTACTCTCCATGCCATTCAGTCCAACCAGGACCCAATTCAATGCAAAGGTCCTCTGTATGTTCCACTGCTTGTCAGATTATGTCCCTTACCCAGAGAATCACTTGGGTTTAACTATGAACTCAGTGATTTTAACTCCTATCTGAATTCATTCTCCTCCAAAAACTGCCAGACCTGCTATCCACCAAATAATCCCAGTCATACACCATTTAGAGTGACTCATTAAAGGGAAATCCAAAGCAAATCCCTATTTCATTGGGATTTCTTTTAATAGGTTCAGGCGCTGGATGTGCAAACACAAGTGGGTTATGTTTTCGGTATGAGGTGCTAAGAACTAATTGCTTGGTGCTGAGCTGTTGCGCTGTAAACTTTGGTTCAAGGTCAGCCAGCCATGCTGGCCTGCTCCCATCAGTTTTCACGATGCCAGCTCCCTAGCGTTCGACAACTCATTTTTTCTGTCACTTTCAGAAATGCCCAAAGGAATATGGTCCTACTCAGCTAGGATTCAGTCTTTGAACTTTCAAATGAAACACCAACTTTTCATGACTTCTTTCAATTACACCTACTCACTGACATAAAATATGGCCTAAAACATCTGAATTAGTTATCTATTGCTACGTAACAAACTACCTAAAACACGGCAACTTTAAAGAACAACAGATATTATCTCACAGTTCCTGTGTGTCAGGAATTCAGAAGTGGCTTACCTGGGTGGTTCTCTTCTAGGGTCCCTGTGAAATTGCAGTCATGATGTCAGCTGGGACAGCAGTCATCTAAAACTTTGACTAAGACCATATGGCCCACTTCTGGGAAGGCTCACTCACACCAATGGCTCGCTGGTGATGACTGTCATTAGGAGGCTTCAGTGCTTTCCCATGGGGACTTGTCCATTGGACTGCTTGAGTACTTTCACAGTATGGAAGTTGGCAACCGTCAGAGTGAGTGACCCAGGAGGAAGCAGTGGAATCAAGCAAAGTCTGTTATAGTCTAGCCTTGGAAGTCACAGTGTTGTTTTGTAGTACACTATTTATTATACAAGTCATATTTAGTGTGGGAGGGCACTACACAAATGCATGAATATCAGGAGGCAAGAATCACCAGGGGCCATCTTGGAGGCTACCCTTCCTTTTTACGATGAGAAAAATGAGATCCGTAGAACTAAGGTTTGCCCACAGTCACCTAGCTGTACCATTTCAGCATTGCCCTTCTTTCATTTCTGTGGATTGTCTTCACCCACAATTTCTTTTATGTGCTTAAAACACCAAATGATGTTTATTTTAGAAAGATTATTTGCAAATGTGAGGTCAGTTGTGCCGATCCTCCTCACAGAGGAAGCCGTTACAAACCAGACCACATATAAGCAAAGTGCATGCCCCGAGCACTGGGGAAAGTGTTTTTCTCCCTTCCTTGAGTCTTAAGGTAGTAGCTTCTCTAAGACAAAGCAAATCCAGAAGTGAACAAAAAATCCAGTGCTTGAGAGATAAATTTCAACATTTGTTCCTTTCATTTTCTTCAGCTTTTTCCATATACAGAGTTTTTCCTGCCTTCTCTTTTGATTTCTGAGGATGAAAACCAGAACAAGAAGGACAAAGT